ATATTTACGTTGAATTGAATTGACTTGTCATGGTTTTTTAGCTGAGATTCGAGTGTTTTATATGTTATTTCCTTTTATCAAATTACAACAAACAAGGCGTTTGTCGTAATTTAATTTTTTTTATTAAATGTCAAATTGACAGTTTAAAATTAGAATTATGACACCTTATACTTTTAAAACACGTAAAAATGAATCAAAATCACCGTTTTCCAATTTTGTCCCATTTCTTAAAGCTTTAATTTCGTTTGATAACATTGCAAATTACTTTTGTCAATGTGACGTTTAATAAAAAATTATTTTAAACTAAGACAAACGGCTTTTCGTGCATGGCCAACTTTGACTAATTTCTTTTTCGATCTCTCGGTATTAGCGTATGTTTCATAAAAAACCCTAAAGTTCCTTTACACTTACACCATTATTACAACAATTATTTGCTATGAGAAAAACTCACTTTAAATTTTAAAGGAACTTTAATTTTATTATGAAACTGGCCCTTTGGAAGAAAGAGTTTTGAAAAACAGTGTAATCATAAAACTCCTTAAATATTTAATACCACTGCAAAAACAACATGTGGGCACCACAGAAATAAGATTATTATATTTTTCAAATGAAGCATATGCATTTTAAATAGAAGATTAAGCCGTCGTTTATTTAGTGTAACATTTTTAGAAGAACTTTAAATTTAATTCGCCTCCATTTGTTTCAGTAGGTAAATGACTGAGTTAGTTAAAAATTAAATGTATAGCACATGTGTGTTTAAATTACGTAGTACACTTAAAATTTTTATGACTCGTTAGTTTCTCTAAAAGTAAAAGCCGTTCACATATCGAACATCACATGATAAATATTCCTTCGTAAATGTACACACTAAACATTTTACGAAGTTTTGATCTTAACGGCTACGGAAACCACAAAAAGTATTATGTTGTTACATTTTTTTGCTTATTACAAACATACATGTGAGGTTTTGCGACCTTGACAGCAATCGTTCTGCTTTAGTTATTTTAAAGAAATATAGTGCCGGGAAATACTTATACAACTTCAACTTTTTATGTTAATTAAACGTGTAATGGACATTTTAGGCCTAAACATTCGGTGACAGGCAAAGCTTTTCGAGCCGACCATTATAATACACATTAACATACATTCAAATTCGTGCCGTACCTTCAGTAACCCCCATAGGAAGTCTTTAAAATAAATGAGCATCGAAGTATTTTGGAGCTGGCCACACCAGCCTAATGAACGTGTGTGTGTTCGCCATGTTCTAGTAACAACATAGGGTACAAATATTTAACCTTTGTTAACACTTGCGACTTGCCTCGTCGAGTTTCCTGTGACCCGTATGAGTCTGAATATACGCGCGTGTATGTGTGTAACACATCATCATGAATATGTAACGGCCGAGACCGCGAACCTGGTATTTTTTTATAGATGTCTATGCCACCACCATACCGTTTAACTTGACACCCGCAGAACAATTGCACGAGTCGACAAATAGTTAGAGTTTTCAGAAAATTCGTGTTACGTGTTGGTTACGCGACTGCGACCATTCGCGAACCTGATGAAAATTTATGTTTCGCGCCTGTGTGTACAGTCAAGTCTTTCTGCCAGGTGAGGAAATTCAGATTTCCCTAAATATTGTTATTATTATTAATTACACTAACCTTCATAATTTTAATCCAACAGTCGGTTTATTTAAAACACGTGGGACACGATTTTATCATTCCTTGATGTCTGCGGCTACTGTACACCGTGAAATAAAACATATTTTAAATCTTCTTGTTTAATAAAGTCTTATCTAAGTGTATAATTTATAGTTACTTTTAATCAGTAAAGTGAACATTATCGATCAAATGCATGCGATATTAACTGTGAAGTTTGATAAAATATTGTTCATGTGAAACACTTTTTTTGTTGGTATTGTTCTCCCTAGTTAAGTTAGGCCCTATCTTAAGTAATTTATTTCACTTCAACCCGTTTTAACAACAAAAATTTTAATTTTAGAATTCTCATTCGTATCATATAACTCACAAAACTAATTTTAAAAAACTAACGTGCTACGCACTTTGCAAACTTTCCGGTTTTACAGGAAATAACAATACAACTTTTTCATTCAGTTTTGCACAACATGCACGTCTTATCGGTTTATCATTTTTCACTAGAACCTCTCTTTTCATCTTTACACAATCCTTAAAAGAATAATATAAGGACAGTATTTTTGTATATGTATAAAATTTTACAACCTCAAAGTTAAAAATCCGAAGCCCTTAATTCGTAAAACCATAAATTACAAACCCTCGTATCAATGCTATCTGCAAATAATTAATTTAACAAGTGTCTGTAAGGGTCTGAGACAATTCTTTGCCTGAATGCAACCCCGAGATTTCTGTAAATTTCGGAGCGGCACGCGTCATCTGTCACACATTGATAAGATCTTTACCAGGAAGGTTGTTCGGGATCGTTGGCCTAAATAATCGTAATTCATAAGAGACCAAAAATTTTGTTGGTATACAAACTACAAACATATTTTCCAAAGAATGCTTATATTCTGTGTGCTGAGTTGTCAAAAAATCAAATTGTTATTGAAATTTTAAATTTTAAATCTTTGTTACAAACATCTTATTGATTTTCGTAAGAACTAGTGTATGCGCCGATGGAGCGAGTTGCTAAAGCCTTAAATTAATCCAGTAGAAAAATGTTTGCTGTTAATATACAGATAACCGTCAAGGTTTGAATTAATGGAGTGTCAGTTTGTAAAATTAACGAGCTGTGGATACAGATGCAACTTAATTATGCACTACTGTAATACACACACACAATTATTTCTTTCCCTGTTTTAAATTAGTGTAGCTAGGCAGATTGATATTTGGCAAAGATAGTTTATTATTAAATGTAACATACAGAGGAAACCTTGCGGTGCCATATACGCAAAATAATTATTATATTATTAATAGCACGGTTTTTAAGAAGATCTTTTTAATTACGGTTTTCTTAGTCTAGTCACGTTTGAGAAGCATCGTTTGTATCATGTTTGGGCTCTTCAAATCGAAAGAATTATAATACATTACGTTTGTAAATTTGTGTTTAAAAGGAATTTCTGTTATTTAGACATCACTCAAGCACAATCAATTTTACATGCATACAGACCGTATTCTTCTATAAAAATTTTCGTAAAAATGGGCATTTTAGTTTGCGTAATGCAACACAATAATAATGTTACTCTGTTCTACAGATAATTAAATAATTAAAAATATATTTTCTAATAAATTCGATTTATACATTATCTACGAACACCCTTTGTAAGTAGTTGTAAAAACTAAAATCATATTACAAAAATATTAGTAAGAATTAACTTTAAAGCATGTCTTTTAATATATGTCTCTTAAATTATTATTTAAATATTTCTTAGAAATAATGTCATTGATATTTTAAAGGACATGAATAAATAAAAAATTTCTTAATGTTACATAACCACTCAAACAATGTTATGGTCTTGATGTTAAAACAAAAGTAAGCTTAGATTATTATTAACCGCCATATAAAACAAGCACTTTTTTTAATAGAATTTTATTGTGGCACTAGCAACCTTTTATAGTGAGATAAGTACATTAATTTTGATACATAGTTTCATTCTAAAGTAAATATAAATACTATGTGAAACATAGATAAATGTGTTAGAATATTTTTTTCAAGCGAAATTTACTGTAAAATATTCGACGTGCTTCAAGATTATTGATCCAACAAAATTGTTAACAGACAGACATGCAAAGAGATGGAAACAAATGTCCGAAATTTTTCTCGTGTACAGAGTGTGAAAAAGAGACAAGATGAAATAGACATTCGTCAAACGACCCTATTAAGTGCAATAAAAAGAATCTAGTGAAAATTGTACTCGAGAAGTAAAAAACTAAAACGAAGCAATAGCAGGTAAAAAGAAACAAAGACTAGTAATAATTAAATCAATATAAAATATTCTAGTACAAAAGAACAATATATTGTATGTTGCACACTTACTAGATTTTGTGCCTCAAATTTCATGTATACATATATAACTACATACCTACAAACCTAGTATAGCATTAAAAAAAAAACAAAAATATATATACTAGGGTGATTCAAAAAAAAAAAATAATTTTTTTTTTCGTGTCAAAGAGGTTCAAAAGTTTCTTTTCAACGTAAAAAAATACCAGTTAAAAGTTGAGCTCTTAATATTAATATTAAGACCGTCCGCATCGCGTTTTTCTATTTCCCATAAGAATAACATGGGAAAATTTTTGTTTGCACCTTCTGATTTTTATTGCTAGCCCGTCGTGTGTCGTGAAAAAAATTCAATCACATATTTTTATAGAGAATTGAACGCTCTACAAAAAGTGTCTCCTATGATTTTGCGAGAAACCTGACTATGATTTTTTAACCCACTGATGCTGAAAATGTTCGGAAAGAGTTTTACTGGCCTTATTATAGCATAAAATTATAAACAATTACTGTTTAAAAAACTAAATTTAAAATGTGTATAAATTTTTGTGGTGATTTATTCCAATAAGACCATCAAATTTATTGTAATGCATCAAAAACGTCAAAATTTGGATAAATTTAACTTTAGCCTAAAATAACTCTTCAACTATCAGGTTTCTCGCACAATCATAGGAGACACTTTTTGTAGAGCATTCAATTCTCTATAAAAATATGTGATTGAATTTTTTTCACGACACACGACGGGCTAGCAATAAAAATCAGAAGGTGCAAACAAAAATTTTCCCATGTTATTCTTATGGGAAATAGAAAAACGCGATGCGGACGGTCTTAATATTAATATTAAGAGCTCAAATTTTAACTGGTATTTTTTTACGTTGAAAAGAAACTTTTGAACCTCTTTGCACGAAAAAAAAAAATTATTTTTTTTTTTTGAATCACCCTAATATATACGTTTTTGCAATGGTTCATAATTATGTTGTTTTTTCATTGCACCTCTTATTTCAATGAAATTTGTTTTCTTCCAGGCCGCAAAAGATGGCGCTGCTCAGTCGAACGAAAACTGGTCTTGGGAAGTTTCAGATTCGTTTAATCCCGAAGAAGATCAAACAGCTAAAATTATTACCGACTTAAAAACGCAAATATCGCAGTTACAAAACGAAAAGCAAGAATTAACGTCAAATTTAGTTCTACTTGATAACGAACATCAGCTAAGTAATGAAAAACTGATAAACATGAAAAATAAATTACAAAAAGAATATAATGAACTAGAAGATGACTACAACAAACTGAAAAAAGAAAACGAACTTTTAATAACTAATCAGAAGGAAAGTGAAATCGAAATCGAGAATTTAAAAACAAACAATGGTTTATCTCTGAAGAAAACCGTAGCGTCGGCAGATGAAGTTAGTTCCAAAAAAACGTGTGTTAAGTGTGAAAGGTTTTTACAAGAAAATCAAAAACTCCAACTTGAATTAGAAAAGCTGATAAACGAAATTACTATTTTAAAAAGTAATAATGCAACTTTACATAAGGTTTTAGACGATTCGAAGAACGCCAATGATGAAGAATGTTCACAAATGAAAGAAAAAGCACAACTGTTAGAATCAGAAAATAAGATTTTAATTACAGAACTGAAAAACGCTACACAATCTATATCTGAATTCGAAAAGAAAAGCCAAATTGATGCCGAAAACTGTAGAAAATTAGCGATGATTTTGGAAGGCTACGAACAACAAGTTAGTTGTTTAAAACAAGATTTATTAGTTAAGGAATCACAATGTACTGCAGACTTGGATAAATTGAAAAACGATGTTATAACGCTTCAAGAACAATTACAACAAGCAGTTGTTCAGAAGGAACATACACATACTAAGTATGTTCACATTTTAACAGAAAACATGAAAAGATACATCGATTCTAATAATGGATGTGAAGACGTTGTAAGAGATTCTGAAAATGAGGTTGATCCTCAAGTGTCGGAATTTAGTCATCAGGTTGAAAGTATATTAAACCTATTAATAGATTTGAAGTCAAAATGTGAATGTTTAGAAAAAGAATTATTTAGTGTTACTGAAGAGAAAACGAATATTCTGACAGAGAAAAATCACGAAATAGAAAAGCTAATACAAAATTCTGAAATTTTGAGCCAAGAAGTAATTACGAAATCACAAACTCTAAAAGATTATGAGAATGAATGCAACGAATTAATAAAAAATAACGATATATTGATAAATGAGTTGAAGATGCTCAAAAATAATTCGGGCCTTCAAACGATTTCCGAATCTAATGAAGATAATATTCTCATGTTGGAATCACAACTTGAAACCGCTAACAAAAAAATTGAAGAGTTAGAAGACATCGTGTCCCAAAAAGAAAACAATTTCGTAAATGAAACTACTTCGGAAAAGGTTGAACAACAATATGTTACTATGGTGTCGTACGAAAAGTTATTGGAAGACCTGAATGAGTCAAAAAAGGAAAATTCTATCTTACAAGAAACAGTGATGGATTTCGAAAGAGCTAGTTCATCAGTTACTGAACAAAACGAAAATCTGGCATCGACTTTGGAAAAATTGAGACTTGATTTAGAAAATACGGAGTATCAATATACCGAAATGAATATTAACATGGAAGTGTTGAAAGAAGAATTAGAAAATCATAGGAGAAGAATTGAAGAACACGTAGAGCAGAAAATTTCTTTGGAAAAATCAAATTTAGAACTTGAAAGAAATAATGAAGACCTCAGAAGCGAGCTCAATATTATTCGAGAAAAACTTTTGATGGAAGAAGATAACAGAAGACAATGTGAAAGTCAAATTAGAAATTTTACGGAGAAGTTGCAAAATGCAAAAATGTGTGAAACTAGCTTGAAGTTGCAATATGACACTATCAGCAAAGAACTAACTGGTACGGCAGAAGCAAGATCCATCTTAGAATCAGATTTAAAAAATTGTCTTGCTGAGCTCACTCAGTGCAAAAATCAATTAGTTGAATCAAGGAAGGAAAATGAAACATTAAAAACTACTGTGACGGAGATGGAAAATAAATTTGAAACTTTGCAAACCAAAACTACTGAAACCACCGACCTTGTTTCAAGCACGGAAAAAAATGTTGATAATAAAATAGAAGAGGATCAATTTCAAAACGTAAGTTTAATTGAAAATTCAAATGATGAAAAACTGCCACAAGACAATGTTGATATTCCTCTTCGTTACGAGCAACTGCAACTTCAATATGATTCAATTGTCAAAGAAAAAGATTATGTGACAGCTGAAAGTGAGAAGCTGAAGTCTGTGGCCACCGAACATTTAAAATGTGGCCAGAGTATAAACATTTTGGAAAAAAAACTTGAAGAACTCAACTCTACAAAAAATGAATTAACAAATGTTATAATAACTAAACATCAAGAGAGTGTCACATATCACAATGAAATCCAACGACTTACCCAAGTATTGAATGCAGAAAGCGAAAAGAACCGTAACTTAGAGGCTCAGATCCAAACTTTGAGCATTTCGGTCAAAGATAATACAGAGATTGAAAAGAAATGTGAAGAAATCGACAAATTAACTGATCAAAATCAGTTCTTAAAGCAAAAATGTGAAGTATTAGCTCAAAATTTGTTGGAAGAGCAAAACAAAATTCAGCAAATTCTAGCAGAACGTTCTAGTTTTTCCGAAAAGGAACAGAGTTTAACCAAAAAACTAGAACGATTACAAGCTCATCTGATTGAAGTGGAAGAACACTACACACACGAACTGTTACGAGCAGAAGAGAGAAATACGGAATTACAAGCCAAAGTAAACGAAATTGAGCAACGAGAGAAAAATTCGAGTACAATGTATACTTCAGTGAGTATTAGAGCAAATCAACATGTTGAAACGTTGCAACATCAGCTCCATTTAATAACTAATCAAAGGGATGAGTTACGAAAAAAGATATCTGATGCAGAAGATCACGCAAGTAAACAAGAGGCCGCTTTAGCTAATCTACAATTTGTGCTAGAACAGTTTCAAAAAGGTAAATTATTGATCCATTGCATTCTAGTAGTCTCATCATGTTTTTAAATAACATTTGCAGATAAAGAGAAAGATGTTCAAAAAGAAACTGAAAGAATAAGACGCCAAATAAACATTGAAAAGAAAGTTCAAGAAGAATTGAAGAACGACATAGCAGGTCTACAGTTACAATTAGAAGAGAGTAAACACGGTCTTCTCGCAGCTTCGAGACTGTCTGACCAGTTGGAGCAATCTAAACAACTAATAACGACTTTGAAAACGGAAGGTAGGAAAATTTCTTTACTTAGTTATAAAGAACCCAGATTACCATAGTAAACATTGCAGTTATATTAAGAATCAATGGTTGTCTGTGAAATATCAGCTGGTAATTCTGGGTTTTTGGGATCCCAGAATATCGACTGATATTATCATAAACAACTGTATCAACCTCTCAGTAACGTCATCACATTCAAACATTTTCTACTAATAGTTGATTTGCTTATCAGTTTTCATTATTTTAAATATAATATGTGCACTTAGTATTTTTGTTCGCTTCGTTATTTTGTATTTATTTAATGTCCGTTGTTACACGCAAGTCAAAATAACCCGACAGGTTTAGTGGCTATAGATCGACTTAGCTTGGTTGTATTTTACACTTTTAAATTTTTTTCCTTCTAAATAAACGCTAGAACACCAAGCTAATTTGATGCTGTTTTATTATTATTATTTTGGTGATGTTAAATATTTACGCTTAAACATTTCTTTTGCGAGTACATATATACGTAATTTATTATTGAATCTTGCACAGAAGTGGTTGGTGTTTAATCAAAAGTGCACAGTAATTTCGAATAGTTTTATGCATATTATTTTTGCACTTCACTAATTGTTTGCACGCTTGACTGCGTTTTATTAATCTCATTTGGTAACTGTGAGGTTTGTTTTCGTTCCTCAGACTACTGAATGGGATCGACAAAATGCGGTTGTGTTTTCACCATTTTTTTTGCTGTTTTGTCGATACGTTTCTTTTTTTTTTTTTGCTTTTTTAATGTTTTAGTTTTGTCGTAGCCTGTAATAATTATATTATTTTTCCAGTTTAATTTTGTTTCCAGTGGCATGGAATTGGCATGTTATGCATAAAGGCACAGAGCGTGAGTATTACATCAGGTACTGGTTCAATTTTGAAAAACCGGTCCCTGAGTAACACTTACATTCTGGCTTTTACCGTCGACGTAACGTTTGTATTATTTCAATTTTTTTGTTTTTCGTTTGCTGGAACAAATATCTTTATTACTATATTTAATTAGGTTGACCAATTTCATTGTAAATTTTATCTAAAGCTACAAACACTTAACCTTGTTTTTTAAGTTAAAAAAAATATATAAGAAATTTTATGCAATTGAAGCACGACACAAACAAAAGAATATTCGCTTGTGAAATTTTGTGATAAATAATTTGAAGCAGTCGACTCGTGTACTTATTCGAATTTTGAACTTTGTCATTTTTATTTGATTGTTAATTGTAGGATTAAAGATAAACATATTTGTTCCCTACAGTTGATCACAGGTTGAATTATTAAAGAAGAATATTTAAATGAAATTCTAAATTTTTTTCATAGTCATGATTTCACTTGCATATTCAACCTGTGTGACTTTCATGCTACCTGTATTAAGTGCTCCATTGTAAAGTATATTTATACGTTACAGTATCCCAGCTTAAAGAAAAATTACACAAGAATGAAGAACATCTACAAAGTCTTTCTAGTCAGTCAGATGGCAAGGTGGATAAGTCCCTAATCAAAAACCTTATAATAGGTTTTGTTTCTACAAACAATAATTTGAACAAAGATCAGATGCAAATATTAAAAATTATCGCAACCGTGCTGGATTTCAACCAGCAAGAGCATGACAAAGTGAATTTAAGCAAACCCCAACAGGGTTGGTTAAGTTCATTCATGAGTCCGCAAACATCGCAAGGCATGTCACAAGAGTCATTGTCACAGGCGTTTGTCAAATTTTTAGAAAACGAATCAAAGCCCAGGCTAGTACCAAGTTTACTAAACAACAGTGGTGAAACACCCAAGTCGCGAAAAACAAGTAGTACATCAGCTCCACGACAGTCACCGAGCATTTTGTCGGAAGTCGTCCTACCAACATTTGCAGATTTTGCACAAAATAGAAATTCCAGTTCCATTCTAAAAGATGTTCTCAAAGATAACAGTTAATTAATATACCTTCATTATTTTTGTATTATGTTGTTTGTTCTATTTAAGTTGTTATAAATATATTGTACAAATATTTTATTAATATATTTATATAAAGTTAATAAACAAAGCTTCGCTTTTTTAATTAACTTCGTTTTTGTTGTAAAAAAATTTTAAGACAATGTATGGTATTAAAAATTCACAATCAAAATCTAAATGTATGTGTGTACCATAGTAGACGTTTTTGGTGCAGCTACTTTATGTTCATTATCCAACTTTGTCATGATTCAACGTTTAAACGAAAAATAGAACTACTTTTGACTTCGTTAATTCATTCGTTAAAAGTAGTCACCAATTGATACTTTCCAATAATTTACGCCCTGAGCTAGTTAGCAGAAGTATTTCCTTCGTAATTCTAAATAAAAAACTTTCAGATAAATTAAAATCAGAAAAAACTTCAAATATAAACTGAGCAATGCAAGTATTAAATCTAGGCGATAACTGAAATAAGTGATAAGTGAAATTGACTTCAGTGAACACAGAACTGTTCAAAACACAATGTAATGGGAATCCTTATCACCACACCAACCGAAGAAAATAAGGTAAATAGTCACTGCAGAGATTTCAGTTTTCAAATACAGACAAAATTGATGTCAAACAGGGAACAGTTAAATGAATGTTTTAATTAACTTTTATACAATAATGAATGGCAGCGAAACGATAAGAGGCGTTTCTAATTTGCAGACCACAGTTTATCTTGCAGACTGGGGGTTAAAAATGCTCCAATCAAGTTGAAACTCAACAGTTGCTTATTTCTCAATACGAAGATTATTGACACAAAATTTCAACCCGATCGGAGAAACCGTTAAAAACTACCCCCAAAACAACCTTGCAGACTGGCACTTAAAAATACTCTAATCAGGTTAAATTTTGACATTCGCTAGTTTTTCAATACGAGGATTATTGATGCAAAATTTCAGCCCATTCCGAGAAACCCTCAACAATCACCCCCAAAACAACCTTGCAGACTGGGGGTTAAAAATGCTCCAATCAAGTTAAAACTCGATATTTGCTTATTTCTCAATACGAAGATTGTTAATACAAAATTTCAACCCGTTCGGAGAAACCGTTACAAACTACCCCTAAAACAACCTTGCAGACTAGGGCTTAAAAATACTCCAATCAATTCAAAATTTGACATTCGCTAGTTTTTCAATACTAGGATTATTGATGCAAAATTTCACCCCATTCGGAGAAACCCTCTAAAATCATCCCCAAAACAACCTTGCAGATTGGGGGTAAAAAATGCTTCAATCAAATCAAAACTCGATATTTGCTTATCTCTCAATACGAAGATTATTGACACAAAATTTCAACCAGTTCGGAGAAACCGTTAAAAACTACCCCCAAAACAACCTTGCAGACTGGGGCTTAAAAATACTCTGATCAAGTTAAACTTTGACAATCCCTAGTTTTTCAATACGAGGATTATTGATGCAAAATTTCAGCCCATTCGGAGAAACCCTCAAAAATCACCCCTAAAACAACCTTGCAGACTGGGGGTTAAAAATGCTCCAATCTAGTTAAAACTCGATATTTGCTTATTTCTCAATACGAAGATTGTTAATACAAAATTTCAACCCGTTCGGAGAAACCGTTACAAACTACCCCTAAAACAACCTTGCAGACTAGGGGTAAAAAATGCTTCAATCAAATCAAAACTCGATATTTGCTTATTTCTCAATACGAAGATTATTGACACAAAATTTCAACCCGTTCGGAGAAACCGTTAAAAACTACCCCCAAAACAATCTTGCAGACTGGGGCTTAAAAATACTCTGATCAAGTTAAACTTTGACAATCCCTAGTTTTTCAATACGAGGATTATTGATGCAAAATTTCAGCCCATTCGGAGAAACCCTCAAAAATCACCCCTAAAACAACCTTGCAGACTGGGGGTTAAAAATGCTCCAATCTAGTTAAAACTCGATATTTGCTTATTTCTCAATACGAAGATTGTTAATACAAAATTTCAACCTGTTCGGAGAAACCGTTAAAAACTACCCCTAAAACAACCTTGCAGACTAGGGCTTAAAAATACTCTAATCAAGTCAAAATTTGACATTAATTTATTTTTTTATTATTTTATTGTTAATTATTAATTAATTTATATTTAAATTTAAAAAATATATAAATTACGAATACATATAGGAGTATTTGTTACAGATACGTGAATTGTGATAATTTGAGTTCATGTTTATCGCTGTTAGATAATTGTTGCTACTATGTAAGAATGCATAAGTTGGGCATTTTTTCGTCCAATCTCTCATTTTTTGTGCGTTTTTACACGTCATTTTTGCTGTTAACTTGGTTCATTCAGTACATACTATATGCTGGTTTTGAGTTCTTTGAGATATAATTAAACTTTCATTATCAGTCAAAAAATACAAAGTTAGTGGTGTCCAAAAGAGAAAATTTAAAATTCAGAGGAAACAAAATCTTAAAGATATTTTAAAGAAAATTAGAGACATTTTTAATTTCCGAGAAAACTAACGTAAAAAAAAACGTTTTGAGAAAAAATTTAAATTAATAATAGGAAGCTCAAACTTAATTTTATTTGAATTTCAAAACGAACCCAGAAATATGCTTAATTTCTTAATTAATTATTATTAATGGGAAAACAAATAAAGATTCGTTATATTCAATACGACGCAAAATTGTCTTCATATGTAGGTCTTACAGCCTTTGGATGGTGTCCACGTCCATTTCTCTAACTGTCTGGTAAATTGTTCTTTTTAATTGTTCTTCTAAATTGGCTTCCCAGCCGTTGTTGTAAACCTTTCTACTTAGTATTCCCCAAATTTTGTTTTCGATTGTTCGCACTGGGGGCACTATGGGGGGATTACCTTTTCTTAGGTACAAAACTTATATTATTGCTTTCTAACCAATCCCTGGACGTTCTAGTATAATGGCAACTTGCTAAATTTAGCCAAAATATTACATCGTCGTTATTATGGTGTTCCCATATACAGTGCCGAAACCAGCTATAGGCTGAGTAGGCCCTTGCCTAGGGGCGCCAACGACAAGGGGCGCCAAATTCGTCCAAAAATTATGTTCTATAGTTTTGGAAATTTCATTGTACCTTATAAAATTTTATTGGCAATAACGAGATGGACAGTAGTACAATAGCAAGAGATATTTACAACTTAAGTTGTCGCGTGCCGATAATTCCCAGATGTTAGAAAAACGAGAATAATCCAGGTCCGGGCAGGGACCATCTTTACTTATGAACAGAAATGACCATTATTTTATGAGTACAACTACCTGGCAAATGCTCTAAACAAATTCGAGTGAACTGGTGTGAGCCATAAATATTTCTTACTATTGTACTACTGTCCGCCTCGTTATCGTCAATAAAATTTTATAGGGTAGAATGAAATTTCCAAAACTATACCAAGAATTATGTCATATTAATCTTTTTTTATTTTGACGGGAACTCAGAAACATGTAGCCGGTGCGACAGGTTTTTTAATGTTGATTTTATTTTGAACTTATATAATATTTATACATATTATATACCTATATGTATAAACTCGATTTTTTTTCTTTTTTTATATTTGATCATAGTATCTGCTTTGCGTACTTATTAAAAAATATAAATAAAACTGTTCTGTAAAATTACACTTTTATGTGTAGAGGAGGGGCGCCGAACGCAAGGTTCGCCTATACCTAAATATTCTTTCGTTTCGGCACTGCCCATATATTGTTATGTATTGACCGCGTCACCTTTAGTACGGCCAATGAATTGTGCTGAAACGCCGGCCGGAGATATAGCCCATCAAACCAAAATTTTATCTTCAAATTTTGCCTTCGACTTAAATTTTACTTTTAATTTCTTCTATATTGTTTGTATAAAATCCATCGTTACCTTCCATCTCTGAATGGGCAAATGTAAAATATTTTTCATCGCCTAGCACAACCACACGATTGTCCAGAAAATGATGAATTCTCAATAGCCGGCAACATCTAAGAATTCTCTCTAACTGCGATGCTGTATGTTTTGAACATATAGCTCTTTTGCTGTATTTTAAGTTGTTTTTGCCTATTTCTCTAGAAACTATTATATAGGAACTCTAAACAATCGAGCCAATCTTCTTGTTGATGTTCCAGGCTCTTGTCTTTCTTCTTAATCTTTCTAAACTTATTGTGGTATTGCTACCTCGCAGTCTTTAATTGTTCTGTATATAGTTGCGCGTGTAATATATTTGGTCCAAAATATATTCACAATTTCACTTTTAGATGCTTGGGTAACTAACTGGTATATGGCTCTTTGCAACTCTATTTTGTATGACATTGTTTAAGCGTTAATTGACATAAATCTATGACATAAATTGTATAACATGGGAAATAAGAAAGTTTGTTTGGTTACGCTGTTGTAAATGTAACTTGATTCGATTGCATTTTAAGTTCAAAAAAAGATAGGAGTATATGTAAATTTTTCTCAAAACTCTTTTACGTACTAGCGGTAAAAGTGACATAGAATTGGAAAATCTTAGTAAAAGTAAAGACGACGACAGTTAAGACTAATCTAGTTGAGTGCATGTATTTAGGGAAATTTTAGTTGTATTGATAAATTAAATTCTTAGATGGAAATAACGATATAGATATGAAAATTCGAGAAAAAAAATATAGAATTTGAAAATATACATGATTTTAATGGCACTACATACCTTATTTATAAACTGTTGACACATGATGTACAAATTAACAAAAAAAAAGAAGACAAACCCAAAATTTAATTTAATTTAACAAAATAACAGAAACAGACCAACTAGGATATTTTCAAAATTAAAATAATAAAGGAGGCTGTTGTTGTCAACAGTGTTTTTCATCATTTGATTATAAGTTTGGCAGTTAATAAACGTTTTCACGCGAAAATAATGCCGTTAACTCTTACAGACGTCTCCCAAATTGTCGCTCTGTTTCTGTTATTTTGTTAAATTAAATTTAATTCTGCGTTTATTTGTCTTCTTTTTTGTTGCTAATTTATACACCATGTGTCAACAGTGAATGGTTCTTTAATAAAACAACGATAACTAGTTAAATTAACAATTTCTAAAGTTTGGTTTCGCGAAATTTTACAGT